AATCAATCTAGATAAATATTAGGGAATTTTAGAAAATATTTTTCAGAAAAAGATTGTTGTTGACCAACAAATAGCTGGAATCGAACATTGTTATATTTTATGAAACAAAGATGGTTGAGCATGTTTGTCATATATAATTTCACGAGAGTAAGACCATAATTTGTTCCAAGAATTGACTTCATAATATTGAAAAGGAATAAGTGTTTGATCTTAATTCTGTGAGTTGTACTAGGGAGTGGCCAAAGTCTTGTTTCTATTATCATTTAATATTGTGAGACTAAAGCAAAGTTAACTCGAAGGCATGACAGGTACATTCTCAACTATGGTACAAAACAGGGTAATTGGGTTGGATCATTTCATGTTTGTTTTGATTTCATGCATTAAGTTTCAAATAGTTTAACTTTAATTTTCTTTTCTTCTATTCTATTTTATTTCCTCCAGTTTAAATCTTCTTGTTCTTTCTTGAGGACAAGAAAGGTTTAAGCTTGGGGAGATTTTTTAGGTGCATTTCATGCATTCATTTTTTAGAGTTTTAGTTCATAAAAGTGCATTACATTTAGGTTTAGACTCATGCATTTTGTATAATTTCGGGATTTTTCATGATGCAATTCCATTCACACGCTTTTAGAATATTTCAGGGACTTATGAAGGTTGGATCTGGTTGGAGGAAGTTATCAAGAGTTGGATACAAAGTTGTAGAAGTTTTGGAGCTTTGAAGAGAGAGAATGAAGAAATGAAGAATTTGGTTTCACAGGAGTTTACACGGCCGTGTAAATTTATGCCTTTTGATTTACACGGGCCGTGTAAACGTATATGCAAGGACATTCTACTTCGAAGACCTGGAAGACTTAAGCATTCTACTTTTCTTGTTTACACGGCCGTGTAAATGGAACCTTTGGTTTACACGGGCCGTGTAAACGTCTCGGCAGTTTTAAAGTGGTTTTGTCTTCTTATAATTCAGACAATCAGTTTTTATGGAGGTTAGGTCGGATTTTGGGAGGAGAAGAGAAGATTTGCAGAGCTTTTGCAAGTAGATTAACACTTGGAAAACACTTTAATTTCTTTTTGTAAGTCAATTTGAAGTTTAAACTTGTTTGATTTGTAGTCCAACCTAGATATGTGTGGTTGATTTTATTATCATTTCCGAATCTGAATTCTTAAGTATGTGTTGTTAGATTGTAACTTGAATTTGACTTATGTTTAACATCTAGTAATCTTTGATTTGATCTTAATCATGTTGTTTGATTAGTTCTCTTTTTCACTTGATCAATGAACTAGGGTTCTATTCAATCTAGTTAATCAAATCAAAAATTCGTATATGTTTTATGATTTGATGTTAGTAACACTCACTTATTTGGTTGTAATTAGATCAAAATTAGTGCAATCAAAGATTAAATGTTTATATTCCCAAGCTTAAGAGGAATGTTAAACATTGTTGGTAATTAGTGCAAGAACTTAATGTCATTTAATGATTTAATGCAAGAGCTTATTTGGGTTGAATCAAATAAATGAAATTTTATTTAAAGAGCTTATTTTGAATAGAATACTTTTGCCAATTTGGATATTAGAGTTTATTAATATCCAACTTACTAACCTAGATTGAACATGAGTTATAATCATATTACATCTTTCAACATAATACATATATAAGAGTCAGAATCGGAAATGTATTTCTTTTACTGCGTTTGTTTTCAATCTTTCTTATTTATGAAGTTTAATTCAAGTTTAAATACAAACCCCCCATTTAAATATTACTTTATTATGTGTGAAAATATGGTAAGATGAAAAGTCTCGTATCTCTGTGGACCGACCCTGCTTACTCTATACTATCTTTAGTATTGGAAATAGCAGTGATTTGAGTTATATTAATATTATTTTATCCCATCATTTGTTGGTTTGACACCTAAACAAGTATCTAGAGTTATTTTTAGATCATGACTTCGGGGGCAAAGTCTGATTCTAGTGGGGAATTGTAACATCCGGACATCCAGGTATATTATTTGTTTATTATTTTTTATTTAATCCTTGAGATACTCGACAATTCGGTACCCAACACGTCGAGTAGAGTCGCGACTTGCCATTGTGGGTTTAATGACCTACTCTACTGTAACGCCCGCAGATCCGGGCTAGTCAATTTAGAGGCAATAGGGGTCGAAAATGACTTTTCGACAAAAATTATTTAGAATAAATAATCTTAACCAAATTTAGAATATGTCACAAGGTTTCCTTACATATAAAGAACGCCGAAATCCGAGTTATAACGAAGAAGTTATGGCCCGTCGAAGTTTTACGGCAAAACCGGCACGGCACCGGGAAGCGTAAATAGTGAATTTACGATAGAGCGAGATTTATCCTTAGCAATCTAAACAAAAGTCGTAGAATATGTTAAACTAAGAGCGTCGATAAAAAGAACACCCAAATCTGACTTCGTATGAGGAAGTTATGATTTTTCTAAGATTCGGCTTAGAGTGCACGGCCCGAAACTCGAATTTTAGTTCGAGCGGTTTTTGGCTTATGTGACCTAAATGAGAGTTCAAGATCTCATTAATAGGAACTCAACGGTAAAAAGACAGACGAAAACGGAGTCGGTATGAACGAGTTACGAATTCTTCGCGGTCATTTAACAGTCTAAACGCCTCGTACTGTTAAATT